TAAATACATGATTATTTATTAGTAGGTAGTATTGGATGCTATTGTAGGATGCAATATGTAACTGCTAATTCGATTGAGCAACGAGTTTAATTTATCCTGCTGAGAAACCGATAACCATTCGTTGACCTGATGAAAATAAGATGACCTTAATGACAAAGTTCTGATGTGCTCAGGTCAGGGAGTTAGACGCTATGCTCTGTGTTACGTATGCTCTAAGCTACAATTTTCGTTCAAGCATCTCTTGACTGAATGGAAATAAGCACAGAGTGTCAAGTTTGTACTACTTCATACGTGTCACGGAGTATATACATACTGAATATTACATAGATTCTATTACAGCATATGTACTACACATTATTATATGCTGTATAAACGAAACCAAGATACCATTTAACAGTTTTCGTAAGGAAGTAAGGGAACTCCTTCTCAAATCTGTGACAAAAAATACAGTCATGTGACAAACGACAGTTTGTTGTTTCCTTTTTCTTGAAGTGATTCTGGTTCTACCTCAGAAAGATGAAAGGTGACTGTCACTCTGAGGATTTATAGTCCTTGTGTTTGAGGATTGATTCTTATTGCGGCCATAGCGAATTGGCCAGTGCTGGTAGTTTCCATAGGCGCATGGTCGGAAGGACTGGTAGAGTGTTCTGCCGAGCAACTAGAAAACAATGAGTAGCTGTGATCCGGAAACGTTTTGGATATTGTCGCCAATGTAGTGTTCCTAAAAACTAATTAATTAAGTTCTGAACTTTCTCATTGTTCTCTACTTTAACGGTTGCTGTAACTGTTTTTCCTCGTGCTGAAGCGCTTAACCTTTCAAAAACCTGCTTTCATTGTCTGTTACATTTGATCCTATGTTTATGGATCCATAGTGTTATTTCGACAGGATACGACTCCATGATATTTGAATAACTATACATACAGTTATCCAGTTCTTAACAGATTTATTTATTTACATGTATCTATTAACAATAGCATACATTAGAGAAGTTATGATCAACAACAGTGAGATCTGGTCTTGGACGAATTATGCATTGCTTAACATACTCCAGCGTACGAACATATTTTATGTTTATCTTGTAGCGGATAGAAGCACAAGCTTCTTAAACATCTTTAATAATGAGTTGGATAGCTCTAGTGCAATGTACCTGGCATAGTAGATGCTGAAATGCTCGAATGCCATGGAGCTGTGGTTTATTTAAATGACCCTCACATGTTACTAAACCAATGGGAAGGCCCAGTGCATCATAAAATTCTGTCTTATATGACAGATTACTTAATAGCGTATGTCGTTGGTATTATGTGGAAGCATATGAGTACCAAGACATTCGTTACGAACAAGTTACTGTGCTAATCAGTATAACGAGCAAGATCCATCTGCACTGCTGATAGTCAAGTAGTATTGAGCCCTGATTCTTAGGATCATTGGAGCAGCAGCCTCATGAAATATCTTTTTAGAGAAATAAATACAGAAGTTTCGTTATAGTTGAAGAAAGTGAGGGCTAATGGATTGTGCTTGCAGCAGAGCTACGGAGATATCACTTCTAATCGTTAGTTCTCGTCATTAAAGTGTGAGGATGCTCGAGTTCCAATGGTCACTGACTTTCTTGCCGCTTCTAGACCGTCCATGGCATTAAACTCTAAGCGTAATATTGCATAATGTATCCTTTTTAATCCTTTTCCCCTATGTTTTTAGAGTTCCCCTGAAAAAGCCCTCACTCCGTTCTCAAACATCATCTGCCATCGAACGTGCCGACTCGTTATCGGAATATTTCGCCAGCAGTAGTTTACCGGAATTTCCTGAGCGTCTCGAAGGTTCGTCAGTGTCGTTGTCAGAGACGGCGATGAACACGTCACCGAAGAAGTTTTCGTTGATCAGTTCACCCAAGAAAAGCTCCTTGGGGTTGAGGGTGCCTTGGTCGCTCCGGGTGAAGTTGGTCGGTTGTTCACCTACTTTGGCGATTCGTGTCTGCCAGTTGCTGCGCGACTTTCAACTAGTGTTCGACAGGTTTGCGGTCGAAACGCGTGCTGCCCTGCTTTCATTCAAGGAGGAAACGGCCGAGTGCTTTCGAATTGTTCAGTCGTATGTCCAGCAGCTAGTTCTGGCTCTGAATGACCGTCAGCAGCTCTTTGCTTCAGGGGCTGGTCCCCTGCCTTCGCAGCAGACCAACGTCACTACCACCGCCGTGCCTTTTCCCCCATTACGCAAAGCGGTCGAAAGGGCGACGGATATATCTGAAACCAAGGCCTTTCGGTATCTGAAGAAACTGCTTGACTTTTCCTTGACTTCGCTTAAGCGAAAAGATCAGGTAAGGTTTTGTTTTTTGTCGTATATTCATTTTATTTATACGATATCTGTTTAAAAATTAATGATCGGACTGGTCATGTATAGTCGAGAACTGTTCTTGCGCTAGATATATAAGTGTAAGAGGTGCCGAGGTTTAAAGTACTTTATTTTGGCATGGATTCGTTTCAGTTAGGTAGCGAAATGAAAGAAAGAGACACGGACCGGTAAATTATTACACCTTAGAGGAGAAAGTATAAACAAGTAAGTATAGCCTTGCTTCCGTAAATGACGTTGAAACTAAGATCGTCGGATATCTGAAGAAAGCGCTCGACGTCATTCAAGTGAAAGAAACATGGCCTTTGTCATTTGTGCAAATTATGTGTACTTATTTAGTATAATGTATGCCGTATGCACTGTTGTTTAGTTAAGTAGCTTCGAAGCGACTGGTCTGTGACATCGTCTTTCGTTATGCCCCTGAACTGTAACGAATCAAAGTGTTATGTTGAAACGCTGTGTTGTTCGTAACTTGTGATAGTGATGCAACTGGATATT